CAATTAATTCAATGAGTACTTGTTTAATGAATTCATACATTTTACGGTATTTGAACGTAGAGAAACAAACGGTAAACATGTAGCGTGGGGAGCTCCGACTGCTGACGAGGGAGCCCGAATTCCATGACCAGGTCAGAACATTTTAATCAGAGCGCAGCCTCCCAGTGGGCGCTCCCGCTAAATTGAATCCACATGGGAACATTTTACCAGCAAATAGGCTCCTGTCCAGTGCCCAGCACCGAACCTACTGTACGTACCATGTTGACTAAGTTGTTAGAGCTATTTAAAAAAATTGCCGCGCGTAACCTCCATGCAGGAGAAGGAATAAGATGAAGAAATTCTAGTCATATTAAAAAAACTACGGACGCTCCAACCGTAGTATACACTGGCTAGCGTCGTGTTTATTGTAGTTTTACACAGAACTAATTACCACAATATATAACTGAAAAATATATTCGATGCGCTAATACCTTGCCGACAACATCCACCTACAAGTATGTTCCTTGGAGATTTCGTGAATTTCTGTGAAATACTACCTTGAAAAATCTCCATGTGTAATGGACAATATATTAACAGCAAAAGCAATTACGCGTTTCTGCGCGTAAACCATATTAAACAGCAATCTTATATGGATGCTTAAACGAAGACGATATTGGCTACACATTGACAAAAAATCACCCACAGTTCAGGGTAAAATCGATCATTATTGCCAAACAGCATTTGTTGCCAATGTGCAATGTAGTTAATTGCAGAAACAATTGATTTTTTTGCACAACGTTATATCCCAGTGTGTAAAATTTATGATTTTGTCTACATCTACTCGTCTCCTGTATTGGCTTAGTTTAGTCACACACACTGACAGTCAGCATGGCTAGAACCATAACTCCGCATTTCGGAATGTTAACGCAACATGTCCGACGGGTCTTCGTGTGTGGGGAGGTGGAAAGTATTATGAAAGTATACTATATCGAAAGTACTGTAGAATCATTTCGTAATATTTTGGCTAATAGTTAACGCCCAAGTAATTAATGGGTAAATAGCATTGCTAATCAGTTATAAAACCTCAATTTGCTGCACCCAAACGAGAAAAGAGGTAAGCTTATGGAACATTATCATAAAACCGAGGAAATCAAGAGAGTACAACGTACTAATTGACGCTGAACGACAATATATGAATATAATAGACTAGATTATTAAACATTCTACGCAAAACTATTAGATATATATGAAATAAAATCAAAGGAAAATATGTATATAAGAACAAATGTAGGAGAAATCCAGTGCATTCACGTCTAAATTGTATTAAAAAAAACACAAGCTTTATGCAATAAAAACAGAGTGAGTGTTTGAAACAGTTGACTTTTAAACAAATAATGACTTTTAAATAGCAGGGCCGTAGCCTGCGGGGGGGGGGGCAAGGGGGGCAGCTGCCCCACCTAGATTTTGGAGCCCAAAAAAAAATTATTCTACTAAAAGAGAATTGTCGTAGTCAGAATAAAGGCTGTACATGTACTCAAAAGTGCCTCAAATACCATCTCCTGCAATCTACCTTTTCAAAATTTTCTGTGGGGGTACCCCCAGACCCCCCCCCACCGGTTTGTCACCCTCTCCTTGAAATCCTGAATCCGCCACTGCCCCCCTAGGAATTTGCCCAGCCTACGGCTCTGAATAACTTGTCAAAATTATAAGGCAAGTAAGTATATATATACTAGTTTTCACTACTATTATCCCTGGCTTACTAAACTAGAGCAAAAAAACATGTAGTCTAGCTTTTATTTTACAACATATTTATTAGCCATTATTTAATGCTGCAACCTTTCTATGGCAATCGCGGCAATTTGCCCACAAAGTTTAGCAGAACGTCTCAGGTAGCACCCCGACGAAAAAGACGTGACGAAAAAGAAATACTTAAGACACTGCTGTTTATGTTACTACGAAATACACAAGCTTGTGAATGAATATGTTTGCGAGCGGGACTGATTATGCTCGAAGCAATGCCGGTGTTCACAGGAAAGGGTTAAACGCCGCTGAAAACCCGCTGTGTACACAATGCCAGGATTGTGGAATCTACCAAAATGTGCATGCCATATGTGCTGGCTCCCTGGTTTCCTTTATTCACCACATAAACACTATCATGCCATCGCTGCAAGATAGCGTTGGCTTTTACAGGCTAACCATCTTACTGCACTTCAGGAACCTTTCATCCCCTGAGCAGGCCTGCAGAATTTCCCGAGCCACGATACCAAAAACAGTTAAACATATATTACACTAGTTTGCCACTGCTATAGTGAGTATATTTTCAAACTCATGTTTTATATACGTAATGGCGCCTTCAGTAACCAAAAACAAAATATTGGACATTTCAAGGAAAAACACAAATAACCCCCACGTACATGCACGTTACTATTAAGAGAATTTGAAAAAGTAATTAGCATAATGGGAATGGAAACCACTAAAATCCGTGACAACGGCACGTTGTTTTAGAACAGTTTTTCACTGATTCAAGTTCACTTTGATATATGAGAACGGGAATGCATATGAAGAACAGGAAATTACGAAAAATAGTGCTAAATTAAAGTGGCATAACTGCGCATGCTATTACAGATGCCAAGGATGAAGCAGCGAAAACGGGGGCGCCATGCACCACTGTCATTAGTGCAGCAGAGTACGTTGCCACGACCAGCTCTGCTGGCAGCAGCAGGAAGATGAGCATGCGCAACATTCAAGCATGGCTGTTGTGAAAGTGAAGATTCTCAACGCAGCCTCTGAGAGTGCTCCAGCCTCCCGATACGAACCAAATGGTGCAAATTTGTTTTCTAAGGGATACATTACATACTGAAGTGGATACTTAAGGGTTTTACTCCATGTTGCTTGTTTAATGAAAACGTATATGGATCCAACTTGAGCCAAGCGAGTAATCGGGCAGCCTCTCGTTAGGTTATACTGCTGCTGCCGATTGCCATGCAGCCGACTTGTAGGATTGTAGGTGTCAATTAAGATATAACTTTTCGATTGTTTGTTAACTAAATTTCCCAAACTGTTTAAAAAAAGATTACTAACTGTGGCGTGTGAAGCTGTGTGTACTTCAACATAACAGGATGTATTTTATTAATATTGATATAATTGTTATAAGCGTAGGGCCGGGCGTACTCCGTATTTAATTAAATAACATTCAGATGTAATGCTGATGAATGCCACAATTCTACCCTAGATCTATCACCTACAGCAAGATAATAATATTGAATTATTAATCGGAATTATATCATAATTATATCACAATAATTATCAATGTAATTCGACTCAAGAACTTGTTAAATTTTTGATTTAACATATAACACAATTTTGCTTCGTTAATTGTTTAAAATATACAAATTGCTAATTGAATAGCTTACTAACATAATAAATTCCATTTCCCCATATACACAGACACATACACGCGACCACGCACAATAGAGAAAAATAACCAGGCAAGGATCGATGCAGTATAATACGTTTGCACCCTACCATCTTGCTTCCTTTGACTGAATGAAGCATGAGGTAAGTATAGGGCCACAGCGCTTAATACACAGTGTTCGCAGCTACCACTGCCCAGCCTGTCGTACATCTGTTGGCAATGCTCGTATTTAGGAAAAATTGTCCGAAGACGATACACCCGACAATTTACGGCCAATCGAACACATTCTCTCACACTCGCGCGTCTCTTATCAAATAAACTCGGCCGATAAACAAAGGCGGTGTTGTGCTAGGCGCTCGGCCGCTGCTGCTGTAAACACTTGTTAAGGCGCGAGGAAAGTGAACCATCAGGTTGCAACGACATCGCCCCGTACGCCTCCCCCGTTTGCCGTTGGGTAGACGAAGCATTTAGCGTAAGATTCGACAAGAATATTTGGCAGCCGGCCACTTGACTTTAAATAAGTTGCTAGCTAGGCTGAGTATATATATCGGACGGAATTAGCCAATCATTTTTTTCCGGGGAGGATCAGGAGAGAGATATGAATGAAATCTACGGGCACCGTTATTCGATGGCGAATTGTTTAAACATGGAAACCATAGTCACCGACGCACATAGTTATAGAGCGGTACATATAGTTATAGATATGCATTTACCTGAAACCCCAAGCATATAATTCAGCAGCAGTTCCATTCGATAGCGATAGACATTGGCTAGAGGCACATGCATATAGTTGACAGTAACGGTACAACATGCGAAATCGTAAGCACGGTAAAACTGGCAATATAAATGAATTTTTTGCGCTATGTATTAGCATAGCTGGAACACATACGCGTAACTATACACGGCAGTTAACCAGGAGACGACACGCGGCAGCTAGCATCTGTCTCACGCGTCCATAGATACATTCTGTATCCCACCTGCTCATGATCCACGACATCTGCCCTCACTGTTGCGATTCTCTTTGAGTCTGCTCTCAATTAATTTTGGAATAAGTAAATCAATTAGCACTAATCTAGCCTTAATGAGCTTCACAATCATCAAATTTTGACCAAATTACGTCGCACGAAGCCATGTTTATAGATTCCATACATCACGTGTTGAAAACGTTCACTCACAAAGCCCTGTGTTGCGTGTTGTGGGAGACTATAGCGTATACAGGCAGTGATAGAAACAAATATTCACGGCTTAAAATAACAACTGCAAGGACCTGTGGATAACCTGGATTTTCGATGGACATTTTGAATGTAGACAATAAGTGGCTCAATTTACACCTATATATATGCCAACTTCTCACATCAACCCAAACCATACAACCAACTGAATCTCAGCAATCATGTGTTCATGTGCATCAAAATTAGCAATAATAAAGATGCAGTCATACCATTGAACATTCAAGTAAGGGTTGCATTAGCCTACGCTGAAATTTGCTTTTTCCATCCTCTTGGGAATACAAAAGCACCATTGTGAATAAGCACGGATAGGACGTATTAGCGACCTTACCAGTGGGTCGGGATATTTTTGTCAATAATATTATAAATATACTCACTTTTTGTCTTTTAACGCCTGATGCATTCGGTGAAGGGTATTTAGTAACTGTAAAAAAGCACAAGACTAGATTAATATCTATAAATGTAAAATAAATAGCAATGCAGAATTCTCTATATTGTTCTACTAATGAGTGACTTATCATGCACGAGACTGCTGCTCCATCTGCTGGCAAGCACTTCAAACATTCCTAGCATTTAAGCCAAAAGTTTGTGAGAAAAAGAGCGAGGAACATGTAAAAGTTATGCATGAATATAGTATAGTAAACGGGAATCGCAAATAGAAATAAAATGCCATACAGTTATACCACGAAATTACACTCAGTCTACATTAATTATTTAGATATCTATGAATAACCACAGTGTAATATTTCTTAATAACAATTTTTTCTTTGTACAATCAGCAATGAATACATTGATAAATCCTAATATTTAAAACCTATAAAATGCCGCCCAATGAGGATCCCAAAGATGATATAACTGCTTTATAACCAATTTCTTTCGTTAATGAACAGCATCGCAATCACACCAAATAAGTCGGATCCACCATAGGTTTGCTGATCGTTCCACACCTGCTTACCCACTGGAAGGTTGCTCTATCGTAGTACATTAACTAGCCACCCCTTAAGCAGATTGTGTGGCATCAATAGCATTGGCCAGCAAAATGCCCGAAGCTGTCATTCCCTGTTCCAGAACGCTACTGTCCTCGGTCCTGCTGGTTGCCAGCGCACACGTGCCGTATCTCACGAGTAGATTAGACGAGCGCTCTGTTTACTTCATTAAACTCACATTACCCAAATCTTATTTGATCAGTGTTAGCATCACGCTCAAAGATCAGCGAAAATCGTTTTCGCGCGAGCATCACCCAAATACCCAATTAAATGAGGCCGCTTGCGACGCCTCGCAATCCAATGATGTAATAAAGTGCACACCGCGCTACCAGCAGATCAATGAGCGGAAGAGGTCAAGCGGCAATTCCATCTCCACCTTGTTAAATAGCGGCACTCTTTTCACATGTCATCGAAACGCAGCTGTTGCTATCGGCATAAGCATTGCACTATCGTGGTCACTGCGAGCAAAACACGACGGGACGAGAGAGAGAGTGTGTGCGTCTGTGTGTGCGTGCGTGTGTGTGTGTGGGGGGGGGGGACGCGAGAAGTTACGCACGACCAACTCTCGGCAGTTTAGAGCGCAGCATATATCTCGTTATAGAAACGAATAATCAATCTCTCAATTTGAGGCTGCTCGTCCGGCAGTCTACGTGTCTCACCTATATGACAGCCCGCGGTTGCTGCACAAGTATACCGCATCTTATCTCACATATATAGGGTCTTAATAGATATATACCTTTAATGCACTTAGCAGGAGCTGAAATTATTGACTTACAGGAGCCGACTTAATTAAATCCGATCTTAGAGTTGCATTAGGACTGTGACGAGTTGACTGTAGGGTGCAGACCAACAGTATCTCGCCTGCAAGCATGTGCGTGCCTTTGCCGTACTTTAAATATAAGTCAGTGGCCACTGTTTATTTTAACAGATCGACGCTTTCTTGCGGGCTACTGTAATCACATTCACGTACAGTTCGATAATAAAACGGTAATGAACCAAGATCTCTATGGCTAGGTCAATATATTGGGATTTTCTAAAAATAATAAATCAACACGACGAAACCTCGTTTCCAATTCTCTTGTTTCTAGAGAGTAGGCGTTGAACAAATGGAAAAGGTGTAACTGTGCGTGCTATCATTTCCAACAACTATGGGCTGTGTCATGCATAACAAATAGTACTTGCTTATGAAACCGATGACAAGTAATACCAACTACAATATCAAGACTAAATTTTAAACAGCAGATGATATTGCCATTGTAAACCGAATGCCAGTGTTATACTTATATATACAACAGTAACTAGAAGTGAAAATTTGGAATCACCACCGAAAGGCCATGGTACATATCAAAATAGCATAAAAACGTTACATCTTAGCCGCTGACTCTCTCTATTTAGTGAATATTTCGCACAGTCGCATGAATTTCTTCTTACAGTATCTTACATCGCCACAATCGCCACATGTAGTTAAAAACGTAAATGCAGCGGGGGGGGGGGGGGTTATTGCCCGTGGGCGCGTGTCGCTCTCACCTCCTGACGCTGCTGTGTCTAGTGACCGCCGCCGTGTGTCACTGTAGGTACCATAATAGGGAGAGCCAGTCTTCCTCTGGTCCGGGGATGCATGTAGCATACTTGTGCCTCCTCCACCCAATCCAACCTAAACATAGTTCAAAGGGTGCTGATTATCGGCTTTGTAATACTAGCTGCCATGCAAGCAATTACGACATTAATTATTTAACCAAATTATATGATGGTTTCATAATCACACTATTCTTTGCTAAATAAAACCAAGTTACTATACATGCATATGAACAATTTTTTGTAAATTATGCTACCTGGCTATTTTTACTGTTTATTATTAACGATTATTACATAATCACTACACATGCGTAAAATTAGTACAAACATTGAAAGTTGTTACTTTGAAAGTTGCCCACGTATTCATGTTTCACACAACTGTTAATGGTTCCCAGTGGTGATCACACAGCACCCTATTAAAATGCTAATCTATTTACCTCTGATTACTATTACAGTACAAACTTTTTAATACATCATAAATAATGTGTAAATTAACTAATATTGGTAGTAAACCTGAACTATTGTGCTGGCTATTTAATAATTACAGTATAAATGCTCCCCTTTACGTAATCCATGCACCTACGCGAATTATAACTTCCTTCGCACCATTATAAGCGACATAATATACAATGGTGCTATAAATTTTCAAATTAGATAAGTAGTTATGTCTCATTAATGTTACACAACAATGGGTTTTGCATATATAAAGCAAAATTAACCTCAGAGTATTGCTTAAAGCTTGTACGTTAATAGAAATTATATTATATTCTTTCTCACGTGCTATACGCTAAACAACAATTAGATAAAAAAAATTATACGTGTATTTATCAATAATAGGCCTACGTGTTATTATCATGGCTCAATTTCACATGGAACAACATGTTCGGCTTTCCACTGCACGTCAATTCCACAGCACGTTTGTATATTTACTAGTTAGTATTATTATATTTTAATGAGCTTCAACACCACAAATGGAATTTTTTGCCATACGTAATTCATATTACGTCCATTTTAATAGTATTTAACAAGATAGGTTAAGCTCACAAGCACAGACACATTACAACCGAAAAATAACAGTAACCGTAATATTATATAATCTCGAGAATTAAATTAACAAAATTTAATTAAAATTTAAACAAATGTTTTCCACATTCTGCTATTACACTGGGCACATTTGGTAAAAGACTGTAATCTTGCAGTTCATTGTCCAGGTATTAACGGCGTACATTTTACAAACTATAGATTAATTTCCTCTGGTACTCAATCAAACTTTCTCTCCATTCTATAACGTTTCCATTAAGCAAATCCTACTCGGAATGCTATAACCACACGCACCACGTGCGTAATCGTCGGCTGGAGCACGGCCACGAAGAAGAAGTAGCGAAACTATATTTACTTCGCGCGAAAAAAACACATTAGTAGATGCCGTGTGCTGTCAAACGCTCGCGGTTGTCTTGACACACCGTTTCGGTTGCCATGACAAAGTTGAGCATCACGTTAAGAATCGCATCTGTTAGCCGCGCTCGTTCTCGCGCACAAAGACTCGGGAAGTCTGCGTCGTCGGCCGAGAACAACGCGTCTGTCGGCCGAGCGACGCAAAACGACGCGCTAATATGAAATCTGGTCGTCAATATTCGATTTAATCGCCGAGCGAAATATTGCGGCTGCCGGCAAAGAGCGTCTGTGAGCGCGCGCACCTCTCGTTTACGACCCGCGCTCGTAATTAATCAAATCGCGGCGTCGTTACTGGGAACGAGCACCGCGTTTATGATTGAAAGATTATCCAAAGATGAGCGCCACATACAGCTAAAGTTGTAGAGATTCTATTTCAGAAACATGGTCGGATGTTTTACTATTTTCATGACGTAGAGGGGCAGCAGTGCAACAGCCCACAATAAGCAATTACTCGCGCATTTGCCACCACAAGCTATTTGTACATTTCCAATTCTACGGAGATAATCCAGCCTTAACTGCACACAAAGGAGCGGATGTATACCAAACGGCATCTGCTGGATTTGTCTGTCAGCTAGCTACGTAGTCAGCAGTCCCACAGAGGTTTTTACAAGTTTGCCCATCTGCATTTTCGATTGACTTAGGCCACTAATATACAGCCTATACTGCTAAATGAGGTTTCGGTTTTCATCACCCTGCCAGGGCGCTTCTTTGTCCAAATACTGTTTCAGGCTATATAACGTTATCGGCTGCCTCTTAGGACCAGTTTGAGAAGGTTTGCTGACCTTGGCGGGGTTTTTCAGTGGTGGCAGACAGGCTGGCACCAAAACACGGGGGCTCTAAACGATACCAGGTTTTAGTTGCAACCAAAAAGTAAAACATGTGTGACCAAGGAAAACATTTTCTTAACATTTTCTGTGACTGAAATCTCCGCACTTCACGTGCCCCAATTTTTTACAATATCGCAGAGAGGGAGAAAAACAAAAACACTAGCATAGAAAACAAAACAAAACTACCCCTACAGAAATGATATGTTTATACTACTCATTAAGCAAAGGTAAAAATTCCTAGCCCTGCACAAATCTCAGTGACTACGCTGCTGAAGGAATAGATCTTGAATAAACATCACATCTGAAAAAAAAACATGGCGACTACCTAATATCAATCAGTCAGTGTTATTTTTGTGGGTGGGGATCGCTTTTGTCTGAAATTCTGTAACTAAGCCACTACTGTTTGATCCCGCAGACATGAGTTAACCGAGTTTTTTTAATGTCTAGATCGGTTAACAAACCCTGTTGCCAAATTCCTCTGCGCATGCACAGCAAACTTAACAACGTGCACAGATTTTATTGTCAGCAGTAAAGTTTTATATCAGCCTTGCTATAAACTGGCGAATTGCTGCCTCGACATGCAGCAGACGGCGTTCAACTATCACTGTGCACAATTCAGAACGGTAAGAAACAGATTAGTGACTAACACCGATGAACCTCGCAGTTCTCACGACTGAAACATTATTACCACTGCTATACGCGCTCTACGCTACTTGTGTTACAATTAAGTGACTTACACGTACCTCGGTCACCGCTAGTTTATTGTGTTCAATGTTTAACTTTCGGAGTAGCGCGTTTGAATGTGGGTGCATAAATGAAGAGGGAGTGGAAGGCAGCTGATATGATGTAGCACATCATTTTAATAGAAATGGGAATTCACACAATAACATACTAAACTACTAAACAAACTACTAAAATACTAAATTCCCAAAGCCACGCCTATATACGACGTTTTAAAATCCCAAGCTATCGTTGTTGTTAAACACAGCCAACCGTGCGAATAGCTAGGCTACTTGACACGCTATATGCCAGAGAGTCGGGAGGGATGGGTTTGCAAATGATGAAGAAAGTATCGCCCATGCAGCGTATAATAGCATTGCTGACAGCAAACATTTTAGCCACTGCCTGCTCATGTGTTTGTAGTACACTCTGTTACCTGAACTTTCTCGACTTTTGCGCGATTCACTTAAAAATCGCAGCTGCCCAACGACAATAAAACTAGTTTCTAAATGCAAAATTCCCCATTACTTCTTCAGTAGCTGTAAGCGCATCCCCCTGGCCTACTTGGCTTCCCGACTACTAATTAGCTGCAGCATAGACTGCATGAAGCAGGTGGCGTTATCATGCACGCTACCACTCATACCCGCCCTCTCGCGCTTTTATACTTATAATGTACACATCTTAGACGGCTAGGGTTAAAACTACATGTCGAAATCATATTTAACTTCCAGGTCGCATCGCAATCCGTGAAGAAAGGACGTACACAGTTAGTATTTGCGTTCGCCTAATAGAACTGAGAAGGAGTGTGCCTCATCCAGCATACACGTCCACACGATCAGATGCACACCGAGTGCACGCGCATTCGGACTAAAGCAGAAACTGCCAAACTCCGTCAAAACGAGAGGTGCTAAAAGCTGTTAACTCTTATAAGAAACGCAAACACCTAAATCTGTATAATGGGTAGCGATTCCGAATAATCCCCATCACAAATTCATCTCGAGTGTTCGAGGATACCTAATCCCACGCGCCTTCGGGGAGTAATTATGACGCGCTTTTAAATCCGTCTCAAACTGGTTTTTCTCGCCAGCAAAGACCTTTCAGAGAAGACATGCCCCTGCTGCCGTATTAACAATGGCACCTTTAGAATGGTAGCAGGAATATGTGCCTGGCTGGATTAGCCGAAATCTGTTGACCTTATCAAACATGCTGGCAACGACTGCGTTGGTAACCGGAGTTTGCACTTTTAACTCGTGTCAATAAATTGTCACGCAGAAAATACCATTACTGATTTATGGATTGGATTAAATTTATTAGTACCCGTGTAAAATCATTTCCTTATTTCTTAAACGGAATTCCCACAGTAACAAACATCGTTCTGCAGCAAGAGGTCATTTCTTGTTCTGTCAGACTAATTACTTACTATAAACTCTAGACGGTCGGGCGCGTATCACACCTACTTGTAACTACTGCGATTTTACAACACTGCTTTGCATGCAAAATGTTTCCCGACACTCATCTGAACGTCAGAATAGATGTTCTTCTTCTATCAGCATGTGTAGCGCCCGCCCGCACCCCCCCCTCCCCCCTCCCCCCCCTACCACCACGCACACACGCCCAAGCGTACAGCAGTGCGGCCGACTCAATCAGGGACCGGCATTCTAGTTGCAGTGGCTGGTTACCAGCCTTCGGGGTTGCCAGGCAGTCAGTTGCGGAATGCGTGAACAGCCCCTGAGCTGTCTGTGCCAGACAGTACGGCGCCATAACAAAGACACGGGCGCGCACAGTGTCAGGAAACATTCCAGTTTCTTCACAGCACCTGCCGAGGCAGGATCACCCACACGTTCACTACGCGAGCGAAGAGTGTTGGTGGTGGACAAGGTCGGAGTCTCGCGGCCATTCGCCTTACATATGTTACAATCGATTAGCGCTTGTTTCTGAACTAGCACTGTTGTAATTTCTTAAACATCTACGTAAACAAATAGCAGATATATTTCTCCGTATTAGTCTACGCCGCTAGACTTCACATGCATGCGCACGTACGCACGCACATACACACCACGCGCACACGCACACACACACACACGCACGCGCGCACGCACGCACGCACACGAGCGCGCACACACACAAACACACGCACACACGCACGCACGCACGCACGCACGCACGCACGCACGCACACACCACACACACACACACACACACACACACACACACACACACACACACACACACACACACACGCGACGCACACACACACACACACTACTACCTTCTTACTTACGTCGCACGTACGTACGTACTACCTTACTAACTAAGTAAGTACGGTACGGT